GTTCCTGTGGAACACTTGTTGCACAGAAAAGATGATCTCTGAACAGTCCACACGAGTGAGAGCTAAACCTGCATCAATCTACCAGCGTTGCTGTGTAAACTCATAATATCTGTCTAATAATAATGCATACTGCAGCTTTGAGGTACCGACTGCTGCTGTTTTGCTGCACTCCACTTTCTAGAGACCTAGAGAAATAATGATTTGCCCCCCTGTCTCATGTCATGTACGTGGCCCTCTTAGCCATATTACTGTTTATGCTAACGATCTAGTTTTATCAACTGCAGCACAATCAATGCATAATTATCTGTTATCATGGGAGTTTTCCTGAGAAGAAGCTACATTAGAGATATTGAGAAGCTACAATTGGTTTACCACTGCTGTATGATGTAGCATTTGGGAGTGAAGAGTGAATAAAAATACGTAGAGAAATGTACCATTTTCAAATTCCTAGTAGTCACAGTGGACATTGATTTGTATGTTGCATTTCTTTCACTTGATCTTCATGTGTTTGCAGAATGATGTTGTGATTATAGTTATTATGTAAGTGCTATACATACACATCACCTCATGTTATTTGTGTATAGTCACAACAACATTACTTCTCAATGAATAATGTCACACTTCTCTAACAGATGATTACCTAATAAATAGGATTGCAGTGCGGCAGCCTGTTGGCGCTCCGGTCAGAAAACTAATCAGTGCACTAATGTAACACAGAGTAAACTGAATGACCAGCAACAGACCTGCTGCTCTGACCTCTGTCCTTAACCATCACTGTGTCCATTATCCAGCATCCCACTTTCACACTTACAAAAGATAATTGATCACTCCCTGTCTTTATTATGCAAGAGCAATCAGGAGTTTACTTTACATAAGCAGTGTTTGGGATGTGGCTGTGTCTGACTACAACGCCCCCTGCAGACTGACTGTGGGTCATCATGCCTCCTGTGTCTTTTCCTGGCAAGTTCACTAATTAAGTCTATGATGCCGTTTGCTATTCTGCAAATACTCGCTGGAATCTGTCCGTGTGCACACGAGAGAGAGGCTCACGTGGAAAGAGGCCTGTTTGGAGCATGATAACGTCACATAGATCAGAAGCACGCAGAGCCACTCCAACTATCCAGATTGACACGCAGCTGTGAAATGCCTGGGCGTAGGAAAAAAGGCGCACATGGAGACGCGTGGTGCCAGGTTCAGGGACGCTCATAGCCAGTGTTATTATTTATCTCATTTGAATGTCATTCTGACTCACTCATCTCTCTCAAGTTAAGTTAGAGCAGGAAGCAAAAAGGCTTCACTGTCGATTAATTAGGCTTCATCAAACACTTGCTGCCCTGTTTCTCTCTCAGTGCGGTCGGACGGGAACGGAAACCAACTCTCTGTCTCTCTCTGCTCAAAGGCTTCATGTCTCTAATTAGCTGCTTTGACCTGTGACAGTGCTGGGTGTGTAATGAAACCACACCCATGGCACATGGTGGTCTCCCTGGAGTTCTATGACCTTTAGCCTGAAAAATAATGTAACGACTACCAAGCTGTGTAATGACTATTTCCACAGGAATGTTATCACTGATACTTTATTAACTAAGTTGTTCAATTCAATTACATTCTTGATGATTGAATTACATCAGAGAAAAAACAACGTTCCATAAACATCCGAATTTATGTTGGGGAACTTAAATTTCAACTTAAATGTTCAACAAGTGACCAACAAAAAAAAATCACAAACTGCAATAAAATCCCCAGTTGAGATGCATATTTTGAATATACTGTGCATGTCAAAGAAAGCTCCTGAAGCCTGATTAATAAGGATTCAAATGACTTTATCTTAGACTGTAGTCAGTGGTATTCATCACATAGTGCTGAAGTCAGGAATATCTAAACAGAAGATGCTGTTTATATGACCTGTGTTAAATTCTGAATATTGTTAAATAATAGTGGAATATCAGAATGCATGTAATAAAGAGTGAGAGTGTTATTTAACTCATTGTTAATGCAAACACTGATGATTGACTGAAGCTATACTGATATCTGTACCAGTTGTTTGAGCAAATGATTATCATCCATCATATGTACAGTATATATCATGGACTGATTAGATGATGCATCGTCCTCAAGTGAAGACAAAATATCCTGGATACAGACTCTGGCTCCACACATTCGGAGCTACTGCACAGATGGAGCCATGGTATAAGGTCCTAGCAACACATGCTCCATCAATCCATCTCAGTGATCTCTCGATCATGACGTGTGTCACGTGTAACCCTGTTTTATTTGGCATGCATTTTGACTTTTTTGTTTGGTCCATGTCCCATCCACTAACATGGAGGAGGTGGGATTTATGACCTGTACGGCAAGTCAGCCACCAGGTGGTGTATGAGATGCCTGAGCTTTATGTTTAGGGAGCAGTCATGTCATACACTCCGTGGTACATGTGGATATTTACAAAAAACAGGATATGACACAAGCAAATGTGTTCATCTCAGAGTTACATCTGAGTCTGAATTAGTTGATGAATTAAATAGTACACAATATTCACTTATAAATACATTAAGTACATAATGCTTGCTGATACCAGATACATTGTGCAATGATGTGCAAATTTCATAATGCATTTTAAACGGATTGAAATCACTTTATAAACAGATTGCACATGTGAATTCTGTTGGTCCACGGTCTTTTCTAAAAAGCTATATTCCATCAGAGGGCTACCAGCTATTTTGAGCTAAGACTAATTTCAGGAAGTGGTACATTTCAAAATGCTAATTAGAAGTTTGCCATTTACTTGTCACTCGCTGTGAGGAATCGTGTCCATTTCGACTAAAACTGGCAGCTGAAAAAGCGTAAGCACTCAGCAGTTTTCAGCACGGAGCAAAGTGTGAAAATTCCACAGGCTACAATCACAGCTGCCTGTTTAAACTAAGGTAAGAAAAACGTGTAAGTAAAGTACAGGTGTTAATAGTCTACAAGAGGGGAAGGTGCAAACTGCCACAAAAGCAGCCAAATCCAAGAAGTCAAAGTCATACAGTGAATAAGAGCTGCTGTTTTCCAGCTCCACACTCCCACGTTCATCAGGTATAGAGAAAGGATTCAGTTACTAGTGTATACGTTTGCATTTCTCCTCCTCCTCCTCCCCACTCTGAACATTGCATAAGACTCCCAGCACACCCTTGCTGCTGCATTCTTCACAAAAAACCAACCTGACTCAACCGTTAATCCTATTAAAGTAACCATAAAAACAGCCTATTGCATTTTACATAACGCAGCAAATACGATTATGTTTCGTGTTGCATTCACCCTCTGCTCATCAGAAAACCTTGTTCCACACAAATCTGATCACTTGACCCAGAAAAGGAAAGGAACAACAATTCAAAAAATTAAGAAAAGAAAACTACCTTTGTTTCTTTTTCACACCATAGTAAACAGTCCATTAACAACACAATGCATCGACCGGAGGAAGGACCAGCAGGAGCGTTTTCTCCTAATAAGCTCACAATCATTTTGACAGCTCACTGCTGTACTCTGTGTGATTTAAAGGTGTGCTAATATTAATCTGCACCAGTGGAAAGCAATATATTCCAACAGCACCACAGAATCAACATGCCCTCAACCAAAGCTGAGCAGGTTCATAAAGGTCGGATTAACACAGGAACACTGGGGATGGGCTGAGTTTTCTCCCTCCACAGTCACCAAAGTGTTTGCTCACTGTGGGAACTGTCGGGTTTCTCTAAAACTGATACTGTACATTATGATTTGGCGCTATACAAATAAAATTGAAAATGGATTGTGTGGTAGTGAACAGTTTTAACCAACTTCAGGCCAAAATACATATGTGAGCTGTAAATGAACACATGACAGTACAAAATTCAGCCCTCAGTAGTTAAGAGTTTTAAACGTGGACATGGTATTTAAGTAAAGTTTAAAAATGCACTGATCAATTTTTGATAATAGAAATAATTGATGAATGACGCAGTGACAAAGAAACAGAGGCACTAACTCTGCAGCTCATGTCACCTCATTGTTTTGCTTTTACAGCTGCAACTTTCACATGTGGCTTCACTTTCATCAACCTGTTTCCAGCAGCAGGCAGCTGTTTCTGAGTGAATCAGACAATAGACACACACACACCGTTCAGACCTGGTTTCAGTATCAACACCCATCCTGAGTGACACGATCACTAGTGGTCAGTGTTAAGTACAAGGGTGAAAGCAACCCCCAAATGTGTCCTCAATATGTCTTCATATCCAATCACAAAAACCACATTCAGAGGTGGTCTGGGACACATGTGTCCCATTCTCTTTGCTGTGTGAACACAGATGCATCAAAGGCCACATATGAAGGACCGCCCACTAAGCTGACATCCTGTGACCCGCCGCAGTTTCACAATGACTCAAACGTATTTTTACGCTTGGCAGACACTTCCCTGATGAGATGACGGGACACAGCAAAAAGTATAATATGCAATTGCTACCATGTTCTATATCGACTTTGTAGAGTTAATTTGAAAACTGTAAAAAGATGAATAAAAGTAGAAGAAGAAGAATGTAGAGCTTGATCAGCCTAGATAAGCATAAATAATGGAGATGGAGGAAACATCTAAAGCTCAATACTTACCTCCACCAAGGAGGTGATGTTTTCATTACTGTGCAGCAGGATTACTCAAAAACGACTGAACTGATTTCCATGACATTTTGTGGAGGGGTGGAACTCAAGGAAGAACCCTTTAAATTGGATTCAGGAATTAGTTTTTCACTGTTTGTTTTAACTTAACCTTTATAACATTTTTAGAAGTTTTTGAAGAAATAAGATGTGGATCTTTGTGAAGGATGTGTTAGGTACTTATATTTATGTAAAGGTTATATTCTATGCGGATCCAGTTCTGATCTGGATCTCACTATATGTAATATGTTGATTGAGTAAATGATGTTTAGAGGTATAGACATAAATGAGGTGGTAGTGGGGGTGGTGGTGGTTTGATGACAGGCTGATCGTCAGCGACTCACTTGGCCAGCTTCATCTCTATCTGCTGGCGGATTTCCTGCCGCTCCTGGTCGCTGCGGACTGGGAAGATGTTGCGGTCCTCCAGCTCCTGCTTGCTGGGCCGGTTGCGGAGCTTCACAGCCAGCAGCTCCTTCCTCATCCTGCGTGGGAGGGTGCCTGTTGTTGTCAAGCAGAAATTTTAAGGTCAATACAAGCGGAACAGTGGTTCACACATAGCTCTCCAGCTAAAGCCGCTGAACTGGTGCTAATCAGCACACAGGGTGCTTTCTCATAAGAGCTGAGCGACAACAACAGTGTGAAACAACAACACCTTATTAATTAAATGCACACATACTTATTTCAAGCTGAGAAAGTGTGCTCTGCTATATATATTTAACTAAATAACATTAAATGCATCATTGTAAAGGTTTTCACCCGTATTTGTTTTTTATAATTTTGTATAATAGTGGTTGAAAAGATTACAAAAGATTACAAAAACAAGTTTTCGATTTTTTCTTTGCAAACCTCTTCATGCACTGTAAAGTTTCCTGAATACCACATGGGAACAAGTGTTTTCAAGTCCAATCAGAATTCTGGACTAATATCTGGACTTAGAGCATTAACCTTGTTTTTTTTAAGCCATTCTTGTGCAGCTTTGGCTTCATGTTTGTGGTTTGGTCTGAAATACAGCAAATCTTCACCCGACCTGCAGCTTAACCTTTAATCTAGGATTTATTGATTTATTCAGAATTTATTTTGCCCTCCACCTTCACAGGAGTTTAGAGGCCTGCTGTTGAGAAGTATCTTAAACAGCACGATGCCCACTTTTTCATAACCTGGCTCAGCCGACCATAGTTACTTCTTCTACTTCTTCCCACAGGAATTGTGGCAAAACACTGGCCAATGTGTCATGTGAGTTTTGTGCTACCAGTGGCTTCCTTTGTGTCAATCTGCAGCGCAGAGGTGGGGTTCACGTTCACCCACAAGTTCATCACAAGCAGCGAACATCCATTCACCTGCACATTTACACCGAACACTATAATGATCTTCTACAATAGACTGTAAATAAAGAAAGACAATGTGTCTCCACTCCCTCCCACTGTCCATAAATCAGGCCAAACTATCAAGGATACAAATACTATCATCTTGCGCATTTGGAGTCTGCGCAGTAGTGATCGGAGGATGGAGCCGTAGTAGTGAGGTCCCAATACAAACACATGACCAATCAGTCTCAGACGTTAATCGTGGCATTTCACCTTCTTCTGCAGAATAAAATAACCAATTAAAACCACGTTTACCTGATTCATAGCACTGGAACAAAATCAGTGTGAGAGGAACAACCTAACATGACAGAAACCATCTTTGTATTTTGACTTTCTGGTTGGTTAATGTCCCATCCAGTCACAAGGAGGAGGCATCTTGTCCATCTTTATATACAGTCTATGGTTTGAAACCATAAACCTTTGTGCTGTGAGATAACACAGCTAACCACTGTAACACAGTGTCACCTTTCCCTTAAACAGTAAAAGTTAAATTAGTCTTGTTAGCACAATTGCTACATATTTTTGGATCAAAGCAAGATTTTTTTAAATTTCTGTTATGTCACTAAACATAAGTCTAATCTTCATGTAATAATGTTAATATATATATATATTTTAAATGTTTCCTTTCTGTTTGCACTTCCTCCACTACACATTTTCATGACTGTCTCTTCACTCATCAGATTCTGTATCTGCTCTCATGCCAGTGGCGTGCACATCATCCATGTCCATCATAACTCCACGATTGTTGCGCCAATGACCCACATGACTGGACAAGAATTAGGCCAGCAGACCAGATGTTGACAGGCTACTGAAATTTAACACCAGTGAGTCTCTTCTTTGACATAACTGTAAATCTCCCTGTCATGCTCCCACTGTAAACAAAGAGCAGCAGAGATTACGCTGCTTCATTATCCACTGACAGGATGCCCAGACATTGTCGGCTTTGTACATTAGGGGCCAGATAATAGCAGATCAAATGTATTCAGCTAGTCTGCTGCCGGCGGAGACCTACCGGAGATCACAGACTCGTTCCAGCTGTCCTGGTCGCTCAAGTACTCGTCCAGACGCCAGTTCTCTTTGTTCTCGTCAGACTCCTTCTTGCTCTGAGACTCCCCGGCGGGCTCCCTCTCTGTGCTGGACGTGCGGGACACTCGGCCATCCAGCCGCCGTTTTGGGGATGAGCGCGTCTGGAAACTGAAATCACATATCGCACAGCAAACCACGTCACTCATAATCTAAGCTTTGTTTCATGAGTTTAGAGCGTTTGTTCTGTTCATTATTCTGTTTTTAACACAGATCACACTCCTGTTTAATATAGCCTCATGTTAGCACAAGAACTTACACATTTCTTGCAGCTTAAACAACACGCTTATTTTCAAGCAACAGTTTGTACGTGACAATGACCTCAATAAACTTGATAAAATGCAAATTACTGGTGGGAGTGGAAAAAAAAGTGAATTACATGTATGTTTTCTCAACAACTCAACATGTATACGATCATAGAGGACATGATTCAGCTCAGTGATTTATTAAGTTTTCTACAGTAACGTCAAACTGAACTAGGCAAGGTGGCAACATCCACAAACGTAAAAAAAACATCCTCCTCCATGCAGAGTAATAAGGGCTAGAAGTGATAAATCAATAAGGTGATTAACCAATAAGCCACTAACTTGACAGCATTCATACATAGACGATGTGGTTGATGTAGGCCAAAACAAACGTTTCAAATCACAGACTGCATGAGGCAGCAGAGGCAGAACCTGGACTGTGTGTAATTTAGACACTGAGCTGAAGAAAATTGAAAATCATGCAGATGTAACCAACAGGTATTCAACTTTTTTAATGTGTGTGGGCCAGGTGTCTGACTCCTGAAGAGATGTTGCACCTTTTTAATTCATTGCTGAAGTCAATCTACGACCTTATATGGGTATAGTCATTGTGAAGTTTTCCATTGAACCATTTTCATTCCATGTATTCTATTTAGATTTTTTCATGTCTGAAAATAGACATTTGAAACTTATTGTTTATTCAGATATTTGACGGCCCAATAAAATGTTATAAAATTGTGTTTAAAACAAAAAAATGAACAGACTAGGTAGAAAATGTCAGCAGAAAGGCTGTAACATCAGTTATTCACTTAATCATTCAGTTGTTGTTGATGATCAAATAATAATAATTGTTGAATTGTTCTTAAATCAATTAAAAATGGCAACTTTGCTCTGGTTCTCAAATGTTGCAGCTTTTCTGTGTTTTATATGATTCTAAAGTGAATATTTAGAATATTTGTTTTTATATTTGGTCTCTAAGAACGTGAGACAGTTATTTTTTCACAATGTTTTCCCACTATATTTGAATCAAACAATTAATGACCTAATCAAAAAACCTTATTGACAAGCTAATATATACTGAAAAGAATTGTTAATAGCAGCCCTCTGTTTTGTTAGTGATCATGAGCTGTTTGTCCACAGTCCATATTCTGTGTGTGATGTGTTCGAATGGGGGTTTTTCATAATGGATAATCAATAACAAGGCCTTTAAATAGTTAAACAGGACTAATCAACAATATCTCTCATTACTGGAAGTGACAATTGATCGGTTTTTGCTCTTGAAATAATTAATTAAGACATTCTGTAAAACATTATAGCTCATGTAATAACACGTAAATGAGAAGTATTCAAACAAAGGTAACTTTGTATTATAGGTACACAGAGCCTCTTGCTCTAAAGTCTGACCTTTCCTGTCTGTGTTTGGTGGCCAGAGCACGGTGCAGTTCCTCAATGATACAGCTGGGGGGAAGCTGGGGGTGTAGCGCCCCCAGGTGGGGGGAACCAGTGGGTGTGGAGAGCCTGCCTCTTAACAAGGAGCCATGAGGATCTTTGGGAAGTGTGAAATTTCTGGGTAAGGTGGCTGGGGACTTCTTTACTGACACCGGAGGAGCACCTGAGGAGGAAAACCAGCATCGTGAGACAACACAGTATCCAGTGGGGCTTCACATCAGATTACACTGGTGAGCTCACCGTCCAGGCTGCCCAGTCTGGGGAGCAGTTTGACCGGCATGTTAGGTGGAGGAGGTGTGCTGGCTCGTCTCTGGGGTTGGGCCACAGTCACTTCCTGTTTCCCTTCAACAGCCTTTGCCTTCCCCGTTAACAGCACCTCACTGGGGTCGCTTAGCGAGATGCTTTCGTCTCCTCCATCATCACTTTGACTGGGGTCTCCCACAGTATTTGAGTCTTCAGTCAGGTCTTGCACTGAAACAAAGCATCGGCGATGGTGAAGCAGAGGCTGGGTTTGTTCAGAAAGTCTCTGTCTCCACTTGGTGGACAGTCAGAGACATGGCGTTCCAGACTGAAGCTGGTGCCACTAATACTAACTGCACCAAAAAAGATTCATATGCAGGCAGAACCAACCAAAAACCACCACAAGATTATTCCTAATGATTAATTATCACTAATAATGTTTATTTTTTCAGCTTTAAAAACAGGAACTACAAAAAATAAGTGACATACAAAAATTAAAACATAATAAAAAAATGTGCTTGCATCAAATGAAATAAATTATGTGCAGTACTAATTGTACACTGACAATAACTTGTTAATGTTAATCATCTTTGTTTCTGATTGTGTGTGAATAACATAGGTAATGTACAAATGAAAAAAGAGCAAATACTTTAGTAATAATAACAAAACTACCACTCGATATGGTCACTGACAGGAAATGGTCATGATCTCTCACTTGACTTTGATTGTACACCACCTTTATACGGTGCACTAATTCTTACTGAACACATACTGAGGCTGATACTGATATAGATAATTGGAAGTTTACAAAATATGCTATATGAGTGTAGACTCTTTGTACATAAGCTGATCACACAAATTCCTCCCTTATCGATTTCTGACCAAGATACATTCTGAGATATTTTAAAATACATGAATCAACCTGTTGCTCTGTGGGGGACTGAACTAGGAGAACTATAATGGTGACGATGTTTCTCCTCAAACCTCGTAGTTCTTTACTCCAGTTTCTTGTTATTTATTAACCTCTACTGCACTAAATATAAGCTGGACTTGAACAATTTATTTTAGGTCATAGTCTCAATCACTTTCAAGTAATGTAACCTGTGTTATTTTAATGTTTGGCCAGCTGAGGGCACTGCAGCAAACAAAACACTGCCAAAACATCACTTTATAAGTTAAGGATGACTGTATGCTTGTAAACAGTGTTCTGTATACACATCCAGCAGATGTAAAACAGCGTTAGTGTTGTCTTTGGAGTTGTGTTTCAGGCCTTCTGTAAAATCTAAGTCCAGAATTTTGCTCGGTTGTTATCTCCACCTACTTATCTATAGCTGCTAAATGCTCTACCATGTTCATCAGCTAGTTGTTAATGTGCAGGTCTTTCAGTTGAAGAGCAGGACTTATTGATTTCACACTTCACCTCTCATCACTTCACTTGGCATTCTATCAGAGAGGACTTTTAACAGACCTGTTGTAAATCCAAGGCACAGAAGAAATTATCCAAGAGCAGAGGAGAAATCCGAGAGAAGATGTTTCATGCGCAGAAGCAGTTTGACAAAGATGGAAGAAAATCAGAGTGCACAGTTTGAGCACATACAGAGCAAATCTAAGGACAAGCAGCTATTTGAGTGCTAGTGCAGGGCACTGCCAAATGTGAACGTGAAATCAATAAGTCCTGCCCTCAAACTGCAAGACCATGCTGTTGAATAAAGACAGGAAAAATATGTATTTATATAAATGTGCTCTTCTGTTGTTTGGTGCAGGGCAGATTGTGATTGTGCATCTTTAGAGGTTTTTCATCGTAAACAGCTGCTGTCGTCACTGTTGCTGCAGATGGCACAGGGAGACGGAGGGACTGAACCAAAACAGTGAAGCTACGGGGTATAAATCAAAACAAAAGGCGGAAAGTTGCTAAAATGCTTTGTAAACCTGAGGGGAACTGCTGTCATGTGTCAAGTTATATTGATCATAGCAGCTTTAGGTTTAGCTATAACCTCTCTCTCCCTCTTACTGTCAGCAGATGTAGTTTTATAAAGCATCTTATCCCTTAAACCTAAACATCAAGAAGGGCTGTGCTTTAAACATTTCTTTGTTTCTTAAATGTTTCCAAGCCACAGTATTGTACTCTACCTGTCGAAGCTTCTAAGTCGCTGCCCAGGTCTTCGTTGGTGCTGGCCAGAGGCGCCACAGGCTCCTCATCTCTGTCCTCAGCGTCAGACTGAGTCGGGGTGTCTGGATCTTCACCGTCACCCCCACAGGCCAGATCTGACTCTGCAAACACAGGGCAAAGAGAAAGAGCACGGGAATGAGTCGAGCATCATGTGGCGAAACAAATGAACTGTGATCAGCCTGGAGTCATGTTTGTGTCCACATCTCTCAGTCTGCACCTGTCTCTGTCTCCTCTGGCTTCCTCCTGACGAGGTCATCTCTCTTCTGCCGTACAGCTGCCTTCTTTTCCACCGCTAAAAACAAAACAAACACTTCTGAAACCAGTCTGCTGGATGCATCGGAAACAAAAACACATGGAACCATAAATGCAGCCTTCTTCTTTACTCCCTGAATGATTCCCCAACCATCCGGTGCTGTTTTGTTTTTTTTTGCAGCACAAATCTTACGTCACACTCACTTGCTGGAGACTTCAGCTTCTCATTTTTCTTTTTCCTCCATTTCCAGGGCTTGAAGATGCGTCCCAGGCTGGCCAGCTTGCTGTTGCGGCGTACGGGAGGCGTGCGAACCCCTGAGACCAGGCAACCCGAATGCAGTGCCCTCTGCTGGTCCATCCCATCTGCAACACCAAGCAAACACAGCTGCCTTAAATGGGATGCAAACAAAACCCTTCCTGCCAACAGCCAGTGGTGATCAGTCAGCACTCCTGTGTCGCAGAAACTTCAGAAATGTATTAAAACACTTGTAACACAATTGGCCGAACACCACCAGCATCCCATCATCATGTGAAAGAGGTAAATGTGGGTCAGTGGCTGTAAATGCCTTATTGATTCCGGTCTAATTCTGAGGAGCAGTGAGCGAGCGGTGGGGAGAAGACAGAGAATCACATTGTTTGTGAATGACTCACATGGTTTCAGGGCAGCCAGACCTTCCTGGCCCCAAAACACGCAGACAATGGAAGGCTTTTAAAAACTCTCTTAAAAGCCACACGGAGGATAAATAAAATCAGCTCCAACACAACAGCCTCATCTGAGGTCAGTGCAGACATCTGCCGCCTGCAATCCCCACACAGTTTGCATCACTTCAGGCTGTATTACTGTGTTAGTGACGTTCACAGAAATGTACTGCTCAATTTGACAACTAACAGATGATAGAATTTTATGCAGCTTACATGCTGCTACTGAGAAACAAGCAGCAGAGCAGTTTGTTTTGCCCCCATGTTCTTTTAAGTCTTTTTTTTTTTAATTTAGGTTCAAACTTTAACTTATTTTCTCAGTTGCTACATTTATTTTGGTCTATAAACATCGAAGGACCAAGATTGATAAAATCAAACGTGTAGTAAATGTAGTTCGCTATCATAGAAAACAAAACTAGCCAAAAATCACATTTTACAGGAACTAATTGATTTTCTTGCATTTTATGTCAATAAGATAATCAGATCATTAGCTAATTGTCAACTGGAAAACATGGATTACTTGTTCATGTACAGTTTATCGTGCAATCACTGATTGTTTGGCTATTTGGAGGCAACAGAGCAATGTTATCATTCATTTTGGAGCCGAGTGTCTGGTCACCTGATGATATGTCATGTTCATATACTCACACTTCATCTCTAGTTAGTTCTTAACACCCAAAGGAAATGTCTGGAGCTTTAACAGCTAAATGCTCAACTGTGATCACCTGACTGTGTCCGTCTGCTGTTTGGATCCAAGCATGTTGTAGGAAGAGGCTTTTTGAGGCCTTTACTAAAGGGATGTAAGAGTGAAGAAAAACATGTGACCGGACAACGAGCTGAAACTCACCATAAACCTGTGTAAAACTGAGCGGAGCAGCAGGTTCAAGTGACGGAGGTTCATCATTAAGAGTGACCTGTTTCACACAGTCCCACATATTATCTTTCTGTCGACCATGTGACTTTGGTCTTCCTGGTTTATCTGTTTAAAAAGCAGCAAATATACGTTATCACCCAGTCAGTGTCTTTTTGGTCAATGTCATTTCAACTCATTACCACAACTTCCTTTTGGAATTTATTTTCAAAACACAAAATTATTTCTCATTTGTGAGTGACTAGAGTTGTGATCAGAGGAGCATATACTGAAGGATTATCACAGACAAAATGGCAATTCGATGATAACCAAAAACAAATATATTCTCTGGTTCCAACAGGTGTACTATAGCTCCTTGTTTTTATCTGTGTCTAAGTCTATGTGATCCAACGTTTCAGCAAAACTGCCATTCTTTTGATTAATTGATTTAGTTTCATCAATAAAATGTCAAAGTAGTGAAAATGTCCATACAGTCTAACCTGAAGTTCAGCCTCTGCAGCAGCCAGCTTAACTGGGCTGCATTCAATGAACGAACAGGGATTAGAGTGGTGCCAGCCTTGGTGTGGCAGTGCTCTCTTGGAAAGACTATAATAGTAGCAGTGGAAATTAGATAGCCCAAGAAGCTATCTTTGGCTGCCCATTACTTACATTTGGTACTTATCAGCTGTCATAAATGCCAATTCTGATTTATCCATAGTAGTAGCATTAAGCAGCTTATAAGTCAGCTTGTCAATGTATTGATCGGTCTGTTCTGCCCAATCAGTGTTCGAATGTAAGAGTAAAAGAAATGTAAAAAGTCATACTAGAGGAGCTAAAACCATAAAATACTTGGTAGATATTTATTGATGTTGATCAACAAATTGATAAATTTAGGCCGATTTTCAGACATTCAGTGGCTCATCTTCTTGGAGCACTTTTAAGTCTGCAGGCTTAGCATCACAATGATAGACAGATAGAGAAAGAGAGAAGCACTGAGGCTAACTAAGTGAGAGAGAGAGAGAAGAGAGAAAAGAAAGAGAGAGGGAGAGAGAGAGAGAGAGAGAGAGAGATGTTATAAATGCCTGAACAGATTTATTGAGGTTCCTTGGAGAAAGGACAGAAATAGTCACTCCTACACAGTCTGGCTCCGCCAACAAGCTGACACTTAAGGGAGCGTACAGCTGAGCTGTGGGCTGAGCAGGGATCGCTCCACAAACACTTTCATCCCTTAAATCAATTTCAGCCGCATCTAAATCTACAACATCTGCTCAAATATCTCCCTTACGAAATGTATTACATGCACTCACATTTACTGGCCACAGTCACATAAGAGGAAGACAGAAGGAGAAGTATTGTGATTTAAATCCTCAGGTGACGATTGGAATTGATGGCGTCGGTGTCAGCATGTGGCAGGTGATCACCTTCTGTAGCAGTGACCCTAGCTAAAGTGCAACATGTTCACAATGTGGTTTTAGCAACACAGTAGCAATCCAACAAAATAAATAAATATTCTCCATGTGCACATACCAGCAGGCATCTTTCAAGTAGGTGCTATATTTACACAGGATTTCAGCACAGATACAAAGCATCGTGTCAGCAGCTACTCACTATCAAAATGTCCACAAGGAGGGTTTTTATCAAGGCTCCATTGACTATTTTCATTATTGACTAATCTGCCAATTTCTTCCTCCATTAATCACTTCATCTAATCTCAGGAAATAGTGAAAAAATGCTCATCACCATTCCTAAAGCACTTTAGATGATTTTAAATTTACTGGCACACAAGAGCAATAATTTGGGTATTTTGTGATTGAATAACAATTTGTCGTAAAAGCTAGAAAGCTATAGAGACTGCAGCTGGTCCATCTGCATACAGAAGCTGCACTGACATCACAAACATACAGCCTCTTCTTTAAACACAAGGCCAATCACAACAGAGTTCATCGATCCATGAGCAGCAGCGGCAGTTTTGATGCCCCGTCTTTATCTGACGCCCTCAGCTGCTTGTCCACCAACAATGAGAAGCAGGTCATTCGCCCAAGTCGTGTGCGCCTGCCTGGGATGCAGCTGCAAATTCAGGTCAGGCCTGTAGTAACAGGAGCAGCGCAACCCAGGGTCAGGCTGCCGTTGCCATGGTTACTACGCTGGATGCTGCAGGAGGAAAAAAAGGCCCTCGGAGGTAGAGAATCACCACGGCATGAGGAATAGGGAGTTGCTGGGCGGATGGGGGAAGGCTGTTGCCACACAGTGAGACTGAGAACCGCAGCCAATCGCGGCCCAGCATGCAACGATGCATAATGTAAATCAGGGAGCAATTTGCAAGTTATGTTGAAATATTTATCAAAGTGCTTAGGTGGCTTGGGGTTTGGGTGAACGTGAACATGCCTTTTCTGAGAGTCGTCTTTTCAAGCAGGGAAAAATAAGCCAGTCAGAGATACTGTAAAGTCAATGTACCCAAAGCACAGAGCTGCTCCGGCAGATAATGAGCAAGTGCACATTCTCCTCACTCATGTTACTCACAACTTACTGTTTTAATAAAATAAATGCATGTTTAAATCTCTAAGCATAAAGGATATTATATTATGTCTATGACTAGTCTCCAAAGCAATATTATAAGTAGATGCGATATAAGATTTATCACAGCCAGACACCTATTAAAAATTAAAATATTTTACAAGTCCTCTTCGCTAGAAACTCACTGTTCTGCTGTGCTGCTCCTGAATATTATGATTGCAACCTTTACATAATTCATCGAGATCTTGTTTTATTATTTGTATTCTGTTTTCTTTTGGAAAGTCTTTTGCTCTAAATGTGTATTAAACATGTATGTGTGTATATATGTATATATTTAGCATATCGGTTGTTTTTCCTCTTTTTCGACCCTTTATTATGATATAGACCCTTTATTTGACTTTAATGATAGAAGTACACTTTACCTGCTGTAGTAAAGGTTGTTGTGTCTCTTATGGAAAAGTAAAATAAAAGAAACTCACTGCTGGACGCCACAGGTCTCGGTGGGAAGATTACAGTTATATGATGGTGATAAAATAGATGGTTATAGAAGCACTAAGTGCCATATGGTCATCAAGACAAAAACTACAAGTCCCTGCAGACTCATCACATGATCAACATTACTTTTAGGGTGAACACATGTGAAGTATGCATCCAGAGTAACAGTGTTGGAGAATAGCACTTACCTATCACAGCAAACACAGCTGTCCCCCCGCTGCTGGCTTCATGTGTTCACAGACCGACGCTCTGAGGCGGGGGCTGCAGCTCTTCACTTATGTTTCAAGTAATAAGCGAGCGACTTCAGGGCTAGTCTCTGAAACAATGCTTAGTTCGAATCCCGGTGTGGCCGCGACGGTGCAGGTCGGAGTGGGATCAAACCCTCGGTCTATGGAACGACCTCAGGTGCAGATGACCGGTTCCATCCGCAGCCACAGTCCGCAGCTCGCTGCTGCCAGTGCTGAGGATGGGCCATGTGAGCCCCGCCCCTCCCTCCCGCCGGGAGGAGGGGGCCGGATAAACTGACACACGCTCATCCTCTTCCTGCTCTGCCATTGGCTACTGCACACCGTAGTACATCTGGGAGCCCACCCCCATTACAAATAACAAATAAGGGTCCTCATATAATGAAAATAAAAGCTTCTCTTCCAAACCTTAAATGCAGCATGTTCACTTTCAGCATTATGGGCTGCTGGAAATAATCCAAATATTTGCTGAAATTAAATTCTACAATGGCATTTGAGGAGGATCCTCACCCGGCACCTACTATTCTGCAATACATAGCACTATGTGTTAAGTATTATAA